GGCCAACGATGGCAAACACACGAAGTCTGACAAGGCTGACCAGTCTGGTGCCGATGTGAATCGGGTCAGACTGAGTGGAGCCGAGAGAAGACGTCGCAAGAGAGCGAAGCTGCATCAAACCTCGGGGGCAATTGCAACCTTGACGGATGCAGCAGCGAACGTCGATGAGGGGAAGGGGGAGGGGGCTGTGAGGAAGGCAATAAAACGCCTTCCATCGGAGCGTACCACGCCAAGCCCCCCAGTCAGACCGAAAGAACAGAGAATGAGAACGCAGGATCAGGGCACATATGCTCAGAATACTGCGAGCTCATTCAAGTTTGCAGTTATGGCGGAGTCATATCCGGATCAGAAACTGAGCACTGAAGAGGTAACGGAGGTGAAGAAAATCCTGAAGGGGGCCATTCTGGCGTTACCTGACGGGGTTAAAGCACCCACCTTCAACGGTATCTGGGAAAGAGAAGGTGTGGCAATGGTGTACTGCACTGATGAGGAAACGGGAAATTGGCTGAAAAGCCTTTTCCCCGAAAAAAAATACTATACATGTGGTCGCAGCCTCGGAGCTTCCTAAGGAACACAGGGTTGTGGTACACGTGGAAGACCCAGATCTAACCGCTCAAGAAGCACTGTGCTTCCTTGAGAAACAGAATGCAGGACTGGAGGCCAGAGAGTGGGTTGTCACTCGGGGCAGTGAGAGCAGGGACGCGAAAATTGCCCACTTCGTTGCGCTGATAGACGACCGATCACTCTCTGTTCTGAAAACCTGCAACTTCAGACTGCACTGCGGGATTTAAAAAGCAACTGTCAAGCTGCTTGCGAAAGACTGTGGTGAAAGTCAGAACAAGGGTACATAGAGGTACCAGGAAAGTAGTCATCATTATGGCTGCAACCCGGGTGCATATTGTACAGATAAATTTGCATCACAGCAAAGCAGCCTCGGCTACTCTAGTCAGGCTATTAGCTAGGATGCAGACTAGACTGTGCGGAGGTGATAAGGAGGGCGTCATCCACATTTTATGTTGCCCTATTAGCACTCCGTCGCTGTAAAATCTGGGGCCAGGCTTCCCTGGAACCAGAGGACTTACAACAAGCGACTGTCACCAGCCTTATTAGCCTAGTGAGAAACACAGGGCTGGGGCTGTGTGACTGACCGAAACTAACGCGGATGTTACAAAAGATCATATGATTTAGGTGATTCTGGGCGCTCTAAGTGACCAGCCGCACATCTTCTAATTCTAATTCTACCCTTAGACGAGCCAAACACCAAAAGGAGGAGGGGGACAAGATGGACCCGATGATCAGTCGAGCGAGTCAGAGGAACATTTCCAAAGTTCCTCTGAGGACGGTTCAGGAGGAAATGTGTGGCGGAATCTGAAAATCGCTACCGAGAAGACATCTTGGAATCCAGCATCGTCCACGGTCTCCCTTAGACCTCAGGAAAAGTACAGAGAACGAGAAAGAGAAGATGAAACCAACTAAAGGGGGAGATGTCATATACATATAGAAACCTATTTTACCGACAGCGCATCGGTTCTGAAGATATCTGTTGATACTTAACGATAAAGAAGTTATCTTAGGACAGGTCCTGAGTCTGTCAGTATTCATAACTTATAACCATGTAAATATATTACAAAGGCAATAATAATTCTATCATTAGTGTTTGACCCAGTCATTCAATGTATAAAAGGGCGAAAAGGGGAAGTTTATATGTCAATGTGTGGATAGCAGGCCAAAAAAAGAATATTAAAAACACTCAAAAATGAAAGAAAACCAAAATCATTTCGCAATTTACTGTTTCTTTTCCAAAAATAATTGGTGGCGCGAGAAGGCAACAAGGGGGGGGAGCGGCATTGTAGGTATGTAGCAATGGACTACGCCAAAAAGATGAAAAAAATGGAGAAAAAAATTGAACATTTATAAAAAATAAAGTTTCCGCCCTGTGATAAATAGTAACAGACCCTGAAAAATATATGGTCAAACAGAATCATTTTTTGGAAAATCAAAAAAAAAATGATCGGATCCAAAAGTCGAAGACGAACTTTCGATCCCAAAAATGATCCTCTCAAATACTCTTTCAGGAAAGCGATCGGTTGCGGGACACCCTGTATATTTAACATATATTTCATATACAGCATTTTTTACCAAAAATATATTTGAAATATATCGTACATATATCCCACATATAATTGTTCACATATATATTTTTTCCGTAAAGGATATGTTAGTGGATATTCTCGAACTTCTTGGGATTTTCCGCGACATACTTGCCCAGTCGACAATTCACGAAAAGTGAATGAGTGTCGGACAGATGAAGAATAACGCCAACACAATACTTTGTTTCCATCGTGCGAGTTGCGGTGGTGGTATAAGAAGCTCCAGATTCCAGATCCCCCAGCTTCACGAGAGGAAGATCTTTCAATTACGCCACAGCGTTAATTTTCTTGAAATCCTTGATGCTCGAGTATTAAATGAAGGGGTTAGTCTGGCATTATGGATAAAAAAAAAGATTTTATTCTCATGTTTTTTCTACAGCTTTAACATTCAAAAACATCCTGTAAAAATTTGACACCGAAATTCCTAATATTATCGATACTCTTGGCATCTGAATACAACGCCCATGAATAGAACGGTCGGTAGGTTACAGCAAGTTACCGTTGAGCGCTGTGGGTACGCCCTTAGAAAAACTGTTTCGAGAAATAAACCATTTGGTTACGGTTAAAAAATTTTGGATAAAATTAAAAAAGGAAAACAAATGCGTGCAAAAATCATGTTTCTTTCAAATTGATTTCAATTCTATATCATTCTTGTCTTCTTCAATTTATAGTGCCTAATTCACACGAGCGGAGGTTCAGAACTGACGCGCGCACCAGGGCACTGATGCGAAAACGTTGAACCCATTTCTCTCGTTTCTGCCTTTTTCAAGCGAGTGGTGCAAGTATCTCTGTCAATTTTTGAGTAATCCTTTTGAAATTTGACATACAATTTAATGAAACATTTCTCCTGGCGCTAAATATTTCTTCATATCATTATATTCTTTTAACCCACGTCAACTTAATAATACATGAACGTCTAAAATCCCTCAAATTCCAGTCGTATACTCTACTTACATTTGGTACTTTCAACGTCCACATTAGAACTGCATTAAAGTCCTCATTGATGATAATTAAATTATTTATAACAAAGTTTGAAACATCAGAGTCATCACTATCCCCGTAGTTACATGTTTTTTTCTGCAAGAATGTTGACTTATCGAGTCTTTGATATTATCTATTAATTTTCTGTAGCATTTATAGATTTTATCTAATGAATGACAGTATTGTAATGACCACAGACATTTCTTTTACTAATTATAATCGGGCGGAAAGGAAAAAAGTAGCGAAGGAAGGGCGGTAAAGTATCGGCGCGGGCGGAAGGGGGGAAAGGAGGGGAAGGGCCCCTGCAATCTAAGTTGAAGGAACGTCAGGGGTACGATGAAGGTCAACTTACATTCAACGTAAAATCTAGAATAAATGGAAACAAGTGACATTTACGTTGAAAGTAAGTTAATCCGTCAATTTAGATTGTACAGTGGCCAACTGGATTTGAACGCCGCAAACTTACCTGTAGGCGTGAGAACCAAGTTGAGGGACTCGGTGAAATTTTGACTCGAGCATGTGGATTGAATGTGAAATTCTTGATCCCCCGCTATGAAAAACTCCCGTGTACCCTTCGTCATCCTGTTGCAGGGCCAGACATGTTTGAGGCAACCACCCACCTAATTAGTCAATTAATTAGACCGCGAATCATTTACACTTATTAGTTACTTAATTAAATAATGAGTACGCAAATTAAATAATCCTTTCATCCACCTGCCCTCTCGTGGAGTGTGGATAACTCTTGTCATTTGAAAATCCACTAATTAGTCAATTAATGAATCAATACGCTTGCGAATCAATTAACTCTTTCACCCATCCAGCCCCCTTGCAGGGGCCCTTTGGCCGAGTCTCCACCAGACCGTTAGGCTATAATCCGCATTACTTATCGACTGACAAAAAAACCTTGCTCTTTTAATCATAAGAAACTTGTGAGTTAAGGGACAAAAAATATTATAAGAATAAGAATGACTAAAATTAAATTAATCCACTTGTGAAGACGGAAATGGAAAGAAAATGAAATGAAATAAAATAAAATAATATAAATTAATCTAGCGACGGGTGCGAAGTGCCCGTTCTCTAATGTTATTATTAAGTAAATAACACATTGACGCTTTGGAGTGAAAAAAAGGATGGAGTGCTCCTCCGTACGGTCTCGGTTTCGCTGTTCTTCAGGTAGTCCAGACTGGATGCCAATCAAAACCACAAGTTCATAGGAGCAAACATGAAGAAAAAACAATGGAAATGCGGAACAAAATGATCCTTTTCAGCATCAGACGAGATCTAACGGAAGAAGAAACAAAAATAGGGACTTTGATGGTGATGGTAACCTAAATGATGAGTGCCCTCTTTATTCATCGTTGAATGGTTTATGAAAAGCAAGTAAAGTATAATGTGATCTAAAGCGAATACTCTCAGTGAAATAACTAAGTATTATCCAGAATCCGACACTTCACGTCTGACTTCTATAAATATGGTCGCTCATTATTTCGCTACGGACGCCACTGGCACCTGTCGTGTGGCTTTAGATAGATAGAGGTTGGTCGAGGTATACGAACTGGTGAGTGTATCTGGTGGCGGGTGAAACGATGCGGGAAGAGAGGCATGGTTATGCCGCACACAAATGTATACATCTTATAGCGTGAAACAAAGCCAGAAACAGCGAGATATTTCTCAACTATTAGTATGAGTGAGAAGAATGATTCCATACCGACGAAAAGAGGATAGGGAACGGAGACGGCGAGTTGCCCGATGCCCTCCACAATTGAAAGGAAATAGTGGGGATAACTGAGAGGAAGCTCTCTCATAGGTGGGAGACTGCTTACCTAACCGGTCCAGGAATCCGGGGCCACGCTTACCAGTGACTATCAAACTGTAGCCTCTTTACTCTAGAAAATTTCAATTTTTCACGGCCAATATTCAATTTATAACTCATTTGCTGATTATTAATCTTTATAGATGAAGACATCCCTTGAAGATTTTGTTTTTCGAAGTTGAAGAGTTGGAGAAGGGGATTTTCACTTTTTTGCTGCATCAAATGCTAATAAGTATGAATTGTTCAGGATTATGTGGAAATTGAATTTTATTACGCATGAATCATTAAGAATACATTTTTTATTTAGGTGAAAAATGAGAGCATTGAAGGGATAGAACACATTCGAATTCAAGGTAATAATAGGATCAATGACATTGCATTTGGGTACGGAAGCAAGTCACTTTCATTGGCCCAGTTGTTTTTATTCATTTCAATTCATTTACCATAATAGAAACCAGTTATAATACTCGTTAGTAAACTATTCAAAAATTATTGTCTTACATTTTTTCGGTTGCTCGTTCTTACCTTGATTGCATATTTTTCAGTTTCATTTTTAAATAGGTGATTATTGCAGTTGAATATTCTAATTTAAGTATCTAAGGATATACTGCCTGTGCTACAATTCTCTCTGAAATACTTATTTGATAAGGTCTCTTAATATTCCTCATCACTGAGAAAATTCGAAAATTAATATATTTATTAATCATCATATGGAAGTTTCCGCGTTCGATTCCCGACTAGATACTTGGTACGATCTCTATTCAATCACTTCTGAAAATAAGTTAAGCATAAAACGTTAAAGTGATTGATAAATAATGATAATCTTTCATTAATTCAAAGGTTATCCGGGAAAGGAAGAGATTTTTTGTAGTAACTGGAATTCTCAGCTTTAATACCCCAAGACTTTCAAAATTATGGAATATTTCCGAAAATTTTCGTACAACCAATAAAAAGATAAGTTTTCTTGTATACTAACAAAAGGTATCAAGTTTGTAGATTAAAATCCCGAGCGCACAGCGCGAGAGGTATTATTGCCAAACTCATCCCGATCGTTAATATGCAGGAAAACTTGAGGGAAATGAATTTTGAAAATCGACGGGAATTCGGAGGATTGTCTCCTCTATCCCCTTTCCGAGCAATAAAATTGCGATATTCAACGTCCCGTGGTCCAATCAAGAGAGATTTATATCGAAAATTTTATCCATCGAAATTTCAGCCAATAGAATTGCACTATTCAAATGGTATTTTATATAGGCGACATAGTATTCAACTAATAATTTTTCATAAATCCACTCGTAATTTTTCATGTTGATATATATGTATATATATATATCAAAAACAAAAGCTTTCCTGGTCGAGCGAGCCCCTCGTGCTTCGCACTCGTGATGTTTTAACCTGAAAAATTTAACTCCTTGGTTTGTTTGCAACGAACCTATCGGAAAATACCTGATAATTTGAAACTCTTGTGGTATTATATGCGAGAATTTTCCGTTGACAAGCAGAATGACGAAAAATAGTCGATTGTACCATAATCACACCGAATACTGCAATTCTATTTATCGACATGGTGATGGGAAAAATGATCCGCCGAATACCCCTTGTGCCTAAAAATCAATCGCAGTATTTCCCTCAAACTTCACTACATGCCAACGAATACGTTAAGTTTCGCAAGAAAAATCCCTCGCACAAGCGCTCGAGAATTTTATAATCTGCGAAACTTGACATATTCGTTTGTATGCAATGAACATAGCGAGAAATACTGACCATCTTAAAGTTCTCGGGGTATTATAACCGGAATTTTCTTCAATTCTGCTTTCCCTGACGGGTCACTCGATAGGAGGATCGAGTTGCTCACTCAGTCGAGTACTAATAGATCACCGGTCAATTGATCAACCAACGATCGACTAGCAATCGACCAAAAACTGACCATCGACTTTCGATCGACTGACCATTGACCATCAACCGAAAAACCATCGACTAGTGATCAACCAACGATCGACCGAGTCGAACAAGTCAAGCCTCTGTTGAATCGCCGTCGAGTAGCTATCAGTCGATCTGGTAGGGATCGGCCGATCACATTGCGGTGTGCGGGGTTACGTGACTTTTTTCACCAAAATGTAGAGAATATGTGTTGAATTCGTTGGAAACAATTGACACGTTACACAAAAAATTGTCGGACTATGGCCGGGAAAATTATCAGTGTGAAACGTATCACGTGACCTCGAATACCGCACTCAGATTGGTCGAAAGGTGAACTAAGGAAATTATCTTTCTAATTTATTCCGATGAAATTGATGAACATCCGTAACTGATTCCAGTAACTATTCTCCAAAAAATTATAATATTCAGAACTCAGTCGAACGGATAGTTTGGAATGCTGGGAAAGGGGGCACGCTTCGCATGTGTAGGCTTGGCTAGTGATTTATACATATTATTTTTGATCGTCATTTATTCATTAAAATGGAATTAATGTTCGTTTCTATTGAGATTCAATTTCAGAATAGGACAGTGTGTTACTAGTGCATAAAGTTCCACTTTCCCTGACGGACCGACTTCAGAGTTGCGTCAGAGTTGCGTAAGACTTGAATATTTCCAACATTTCAGAGAAAGTTCAGAGTTCGGTCAGAGTTGGGGCTATGTCGGATTCTGGGGAGGGGCCGGGGGGGTTTACATGTGTTCTCTGAACTCTTACCTGCCGTCAGAGTTAAGAGTTCAGTTTTTTTATTGTTGATCATTATTTATTTATTTCTGGGGAAGGGAGGGGAGTCCATTTGTTCTCTGAACACTTATCTGCCGTCAGAGTTAAGAGTTGAGTTTTTTTATTGTTGATCATTACTTATTAATGAGTCAGAGTTAAGAGTTGAGTTTTTTTATTGTTGATCATTACTTATTAATA